GGGCAAAATAATGTAGAAGCGGATTGAGGAGAGTGTGGAGAGAAGAGGAATGACAGTCGGTTGGAGCATAACAGGATACATGTGCAAGAATGGGAGGGAGGACAGCGGGTGCAAGGAGCAGAGGTGGCAAAAGTTTAAATACTTGGAGTCAGCTGTTCAATGTAACAGGGAGTGCGGAAGAGAGGTGAAGAACAGAGTGCAGGCAGGGTGGAGTGGGTGGAAAAAAGGCATAAGGAGAGATTTGCAACAAAAGGGTGCAAGCAAGAGTGAAAGGGAAGGTTTACGGTGGCTCTGACAAAAAGACAGGAGGCAGAGCGGGAGGAAGATTTTTGTTGGGAGTGACGAGGATGGACAGGATTGGGAATGAGATCTTAGAGAGACAGCTCAGGTTAGACAGTTTGGAGACAAAGCGAGAGAGGCGAGATTGAGATGGACATGTGGAAGAGAGATGCTGGGTAAATCGGCAGGAGGATGCTGAGGATGGAGGCAAGAGAATAAGAGGAGGTTTATGAATGTGGTGAAAGAGGGCATTCAGATTAACCATGCAAGGCAGCTGGACTCGTGAAATCACAAGATCATACGAGAATCCATCTTGCCAGGCTGCAATCTATGTGTCTGTGGCCAAACTACGTGGTACAGAGGAAGCACTGGCAGCTACGCGGTTGGGCATGAGAGGATAGCGCAGACGCTGCTAGCATCAGTTATATCAGAGCTAAAGAGTATTTCTTTGTTGATTTTGCTCTTGTCCCACATGACTTCAATAAGAGTTTTACACGTTATATGGCTCGTTGATCTGATTGGTTGAAATTCGCTCATGATAGATGCTGATAGACAGATGGTTCATTTCCAAAATGTTTGGAAATGAATTTCCCAGATGGCAGCGATTAAGTTTGCCACCAAAAAGTAACTGTGAGAGAAACAGAATTTCCAGGAGACAGGGTTGTTCATTTGTGATACTACAACATGTCTTTGGATGCCTCAGTATTTAAAAAAAAAAAATGCTTTTTGGATCATCCAACAGCGTCTGAAACTCCCTTTCCAGAATCATGGGATGGAAAGTTTTGTTATTTTCCAAAACAGACAATCCATCAAACACTTTCATGCTGTGACTGACCACATGTGAAATGTAGCTATTTTTTTCATTCATTATTCATTCATCCACAACACCATGAAAGTCTTTTGAGGAGCTGTGCTTCACGGTGGTAATTGTTGGGTCTCTTTTACATATGAAGTGTGAGAGCTATAATAGATAACGTCTGTTACGATTTGGCGTTACACAAATACAACTGAACTGAATTCAATGTGAATGTCACTTTGTATGTTTCATCTGTGTCTCAGATCGATATTCAGTCAAATTTACTGACTTTAAATTGTTGAATCCAAAGTTAACAGTCTGTTTTGTTGTATTTCGCCTAGTCAAAGGTGGTTGGACTTTCTCAGGCTGCTAAAGTGCAGAATAAATGTGTCTTTGTTTGGTGATCTGACATTGCTCAATATCTTCTTGGATTTATTTTTTGGATTCATACACATTTTTTATTTAGCTTTGCCATCATGATTGCCTACACTGTAATTCTACTATGGTGGTCTATTTTTTCTGTCCAACCTGGCAGTGGGGCCCCTCTTCTTCCCCATAAACAGATTTTTTAAGGCAGTTTTTCCTCATCTGAATCAAGAGCTTAAGGATAGAGGATGTCGTATGCTGTAGCCTATAGACTGTAAAGCCCCTCAAGGCAAATTTGTGATTTTATATTAGGCTGTATAAATAAAAATGATGCAGGTTGGCTGAATTCACGCCTTACTTCTTAAGCATCTAATTCCTGTCTGGACACTTAAGACTCCTGAAATGATAAGACACAGACAGACATCCTGAGAGAAGATGGAGGACTATGTAAGGCTGTTACATGAGGACAATTTCCAACATCATTCCCCTGATTGCAAAGCAACAAGAGGGTTATTCAGACATCCCACAGCAAGAGAGAGAGAGAGTTGTGTAAGAGATGTTACAAAAGACGCACTTCAAAAGACAGCACAAAACAGCTCCCTCTGGTCCTTTTGTTGCTGTGATGTAAGCTTGTCTGCCAATACACATATCCTATAAGAGACACACGTATGCACACACTCTGCTTAATTTAGCTGTAGCTTAATGACTTAATTTGAGACAGTCTAATAGCACAAAGGGCAGGCATTTATATATGATCAATACCAAAGTAACCAAATCAAAAAAAAAAAAGAACCAAAAAACAAACCTGCATTTAGAGACAATTCCTAACACAATGAAATAATCAAATGAGAAACTGAGGAGGCACAAGCAAAACCAGGACACCCTGAGGAGACGCCCTGTGAAATGTCGACTGCGTTTATACATTTTTAAAATCAACCTGAGCAAGTTGAATGTCCTTGCGTACACTTCCCATCAGGCTACATTTTAACATATGCATTTAAAAGATATCCTGAATCAGGAAAAAAAAACACCAGTCTCCAGTGGCAGCCAAGCCCCAACCTCTGATGTATCCATTCTGTCTCCCCACCCTGCAGGACAGAGGTTTATTCCATGAATTATTGATCGTCCTCCAGACATCATCCTGTCCTTTTGTGTGTCACCCACAAAAAATGAAAATCGAACAAATAACAAAGATGTCATGGCGATGGTTGAGTCTGATTTGTGGTTCTGTGAGGTGTCTGTGTTTGTCTGCTGAACTGCTTTGTAGTGAGTAATGGTTTTTACTAACCTTACTAAAGGCTGAAGCCAATGCAAAATGCCTTAAAATACAGGACATGGGGTCAGTAGTCGCTGATTCCAAAACAATCAATGACAATACGATTTTTCTCAAATGATGGTTTATCTTCGAATTTCTATGAAGTAGCAGTTTTGTGATTGATTGTCCTATTGAGATTTTTGAGTTTCAACGTAAAAAATTACCCTAAGAGTAAAGTTGTTAGCATCACATTTTGATATCTTGGAGTCAGTAAGGTTATTTGAGGTACACCAAGGGGGAGGGAAAGCTGAGTGTCATCAGCATAAGAGCAATAGGAAATATTGCTTTATTATTACTTCTGACCATTTTCTGAGAATATTGGCTTTGCTGTTCCTGTTATTGTTATTAAGTGTCTCTGAGTACCTTTTAAAGCACTATATAAAATAAATGTATTATTATTATCATTACTAAGCGATGGTAAATAAGATGGTACCCTGTGGGATGACACAGGCAGATTAATGATTCAAGGTTGAGTCTGTAGGACTAAGGAGTCTAGTGGTGTAGCTGCAGATTACCACTCCATCGCTTCACCCTCCCCTTCCAAGCACAAAGGAGAAACAGGAACAACACTATTTAGAACCAGTGTTTGATTTGTCCCCTCTGCTGAAAAATGGTGGATATAAACGGCTCATTCTAAGGTAAAAAAAAAAACAATGATTCCAATATTTAGGTAATTATACACCGATGAAATCATACCAATGGACATTATATATTTCATTTCTGCCAATAGAGCCTCCTTAAATTAACCTCTAACTATTTCCACTGGCTCTAAGACAAAATATTAACCATTCCATGGCTGTGACATCAATAAAAATCATGTAAAAAAAGAGGTTTTATGGTCCTTATCCACTCCATAAAGGGACAAGTTCCAGCCTGCTTATCTATATCTGGTGTTTTTTGTCCTTGCCAGGTCATGTTTTAACCATAAATCGGACCTCCATCTGCTTATTAGTCCAGAATCTTGCCAACATCACCTTTGAATGAACCACTGCTCCATATAAAGGAAACATAACCCCTGAACAGCCACTATAATCACTGCTACGACCAATATGTCAACCCCGGTCCTAACACCATGGCCCTCAACAGACCAGTACAACCTTAGACACACACACACACTTTGACCTACTGACATTTATATACACACATACACACTGACCCACAGACAATGACCTCAGCAGACTGGCCTGGCCCTTGCAATCACCCACACACCTGCTGTCTGACCTTTCTTCTATCCTCATAGAGCCTGATTGATCTCTGCACAGTATTTTATTTCTGCAGACAAACACCAAAGACTCGAGCACATTAAAGCTTCCCTGTGCAAGCTCTTGCTAAAAAAACAATCTACTGTAGTTTCTACATGTTTGTGCCTATAAACATTGAATTAAATCGTAAGGTGTTGAACAACTGGACATTAGCAAATGTGCCTTTGGACTTAACAGTATTTGTCAAAACAGCATCCAAGAAAAACAGCTTCAGATGAACATTATCAGCTAAAACTAAACTAGTATCAGACCAAACAGTCTCATACGGTTATTGAGTGAACCAGCTGACTTTGCAAATATCCCAACCAGTATTGTCAGGTGACATCAGCCTTCTACTAGAATTTTTAACTTAAATACAAGCTGTCCCATCAGATGTCCAGTTATCATACTGACAATGTTTCTCTTGTGGCCCTTTCAGTCTAAGAAAGGATCTTGTTTTTCTATGCTTTCGGCGAAATGATGCTGAGGTCTGAGATTTTGTGTACACAGTACAGTCCATACACACTAAACCAGACACATTCATACTCTCGCTCTCAGTTACAACGGTCCAGGAGAGCAGGAATGCAAAAAGAAAAACATCATGAAACCACCGTGTTACCATAAACTCTTTACATCCAGACTGTAAACTAAACTAACGGAGAGCAAAGTTAAAGCTGTTATTTCATGCTTCATGCCCAATTTATCACAGCAGCTTGGGCAAAAAGTTTGTGTTTTCCACATATTTCATAAACCAAACGTGTGTTTTCCACTGCAGTTTGTGGTACAGTGGGGAAAGGAGAGGGAATGTCATGTTTCCAGTGTGAGAAATGTACAGTGATACGCTTGAGAAACAAACTTCAGACACTGAGCAGAAGAAAATTGAAAATGAACTGCATCTGTGTGTGGAGACACAGAGCAGATAAGCTTTAGTAATTCTTTAGGGTCACAAAGGACTCCAAGCCAAGTGATATCATATCGCACAATATTATGCAACAATATATTGTTACACACCTGCAACCAAACATTAAGGTTGCTAAGAGAAAGAGTGTGTATGCATTTGGTGTGCATAGCTGGAGAAGGGAGAAAGTTTGTGTGCATGTTTACTATCCTACCTGGTGCCGCCTGCATCTCCATGAGACCTCCTGTTGTGATTAGAGCCTCCAAGATCCTGACGTGATGCTCCGGGTTCACGTCCGCACTGTTGATAAAAACACAAACAGGAACAGAAGCTGTGGTCAAATTGTAAATTATAAAGGGCACTGCTAAATCATGGTAACAGGAACTGACTTTTTCATATTGCATTAACCCTCAACCTACTGACATATTTAACATGCAAGGACTACCCAACTGTAAAAAACATTTGTTTCTTCTCAAAACATTGTTAATTATGTAAAAGCTGTGTCCGTCTCCCAGGGGTGATTCCAGACTTTTTTGACTGGGGTGGCAACTGACTTATGCAGGGGTGACATTTAGTAAGAAGAAATATTGAAATACAAAAGAAAAAAATAACACATTTACACCACATGCAAAAAGCTTTTTTTGGTTTGGGGCAAGTTTTTTTTGCCCCAAACTGCATGGGATTAGCATGAAGTGGGCATTTCTGCAAAGGGGAGACTTGTGGGTTCCCAAAGAACCTATTTTCATTCAGATATCTGGAGGTCATGCCAGTTTTTCAGTCGCCAAAATTTAGCCTCATTTTGCGTTTTTCTTTTGTTTTTCTGTTCCGACATGCTAGCATGACGTGGTTGGTACGAACAGACGCATCAGATTATTTATTTATTGATACCAATATCTTCACTCTAGCCTTAAAACAGAGTCTGCTACAGCTTCTGAAAGACGGTGTGGAGTGGAAAAGGTAAGGATAATGGCGTGGCACTGCACAATAACAGTAGAATAGAAGCCATAAAAATAAAATAAACACACATTCTTTAAGTGCAGATACTAGAAAAAGACTCTTTACTCAAGCAGAAGTGAAAAAGTACAGGCTGTGAAATGGACTCTCTTGGTTTCTCTGAAGGACATTTCTACCAGCTGTTTCTGTGAAAAACTAACTGAAACTAGGTCCCAAAAAATGTAAGGAGTAGAAAGTACTAATGATATTGTAGTAAAAAGTTGAGTACAAATAAAACTATTAACAAAGTATTTGTACTTCCCACCTCTCATTCTGAACTAGTGGTAATTAGAGTTGTGCCTCCAAACAATGAAAGCTGCTCAGTGACAGACGTTCAGCAACGCAGTACAAACACTGAGAGAAAGTGAGGGGAAAAACAGCTATAGAGCCAGTATATTTCCACATCTAACTGTGGTGAATTAAGGGTTTATTTTGACTAGTTTGGCAATGGAATACAGTTACAAGGTGATTCACAAGGGCTCCAACCAGGACTCTGACTCAGGGAAAGAACACAGCAGGGACAGGAGAGGAGAGGCATGAAGAGGATAGAGGAGCGAGGGGCATCAGAGAGGCAGCAGTGTAGAGAAAGAATATTTTCACATCTAACTCTGTTATCTGGTTAGACTGCAGAGTGATTGTTGGAACAATGGAAAGACTAATAAAGATGGTTTGGTCAGTTTTATTTAGTTTCCTTTAAGTATGAATGCGTTTTAAGTAGGGATGTCCGATAATATCGGCCCTCCACCGATATTCACAAAAAAATGTAATATCGGGAATTATCGGTATCGGGTTTTTATAACCGATGTTTGTTCTGTAGGCTTCAGCATTTCCGAGCCTGCATGAACGCAGCATGGGACGTTTACCGGGGCGGTGCTCTAGATGACGTATAACAACTACAACTCACGCTAGACGTGTTGCTAACCGTGCTAAACAAGCAAACACTTTAAAGCCTGAATGATTGTAATTCACACAAAATAAGTGCCAATGCACCTCTAGATATATTTTACCCCTGACTATGATCGGTCCTAACCAAACTAACAATTGCTTAGAATTTACATTACACTTCCTTCAACCAAAGCTATGCAAGCTACGATTAGCTATTACGCTCTTTTTCATATTCAATACCAATGAAATTGAAGTTGTTCTCTTATTTTGCCACAAGACAACGTGTTACATTTGGAAGCCATGTTCATTATGTATGCAATCCAGTGCCCACACATAAAATTAGCATAAATGTGTTAATTCCACAATAGGAGATTATTTAGTGCTTACCGAACATTTTTTACGTAAAAAAAGCCTGCATTATCGCGTATCGTGATATCTATCGGAAATGAGAGTTGGAACAATATCGAATATCGTCTTGCTAAAGATCTTAGGTATAAGAGAGAAAACTTAATTCAGAGGGTTACGTTGTATCTCTGATGGAGAACATGATGGTTTTTCTTTTCCTTCCTGACATTTTGTGATTTTATTTCTTTATGATTGAATCTCATTGACGTAGTAACTGCAATTAATGGGGGGGGGGCATGATACAATTGTAGAAAATTTTAACATATTGGCCAACCCTTTTTTTTTTTTTTTTTTTTTTTTTTTTTTTTTTTTTTTTTTTTTTGTTTTTTTTTTTTTTTTTTTTTTTTTTTTTTTTTTTTTTTTTTTTTTTTTTTTTTTTTTTTTTTTTTTTTTTTTTTTTTTTTTATTTTTTTTCTTTTTTTTTTTTTTTTTTTCAGTTGTAATGAGATCAGTCTGTTTTTCAATATATTTTTTTAAGCATTTGAAAAACAATAAAGCTCTATGGGGACATATATCACACAATACTTATCAATAGGATCAATTTTACTTGGTCTTTTAATGAGACTTATTGATAATAAGAGAAATACTGAATACTGGCAGACCTCGTAGTTGTGCTCCAGTATGCTGCAGTAAAGCCCAATCAATAGAATATTGTGACTATCTAAATACTTGCAGACTGCAGTGCAAACTCACCAACTATCTAGAATTTATCAACATTTCCACACACAAAATAAGCTAACATGAGACCTGATTGTAATAACATGGCATGCTATAATACGCCGCCCCACTCTTTATCCGCCCGTTGTGCACGTCAGAGGTGAATTGGTTGACCAGGCTGTGCAAACAATCACAGCTTCTGACTCACCAAAATCCACTACATCTCCACCGCACACAACGCCACAAGGAGAAAATTCTTTGTTAATTTCTGGAAAAACAGACACAGACGAGCTTGTGCAGGCTAGAGAAACAAAACAATACCATCAGCCCCGTTAATGCCATTCTCTCAGAGTTCAAACATCCAGCTCTTAAACTGCAGGATGTTGATATTACAGCGGAGCCAAATATCAGGCTTGGTCTTCCTGTTAGCGAGGGCAGAGCTTTTACTACAAATATATATCAGGTCTTTGTGCTGGATCAAGGCAATCTCACTTAATTGGTTTGAGTTTTGTAAAGGAAATGAGCAGTGGTTGATTTGTGAAGGGTTTAAAAAAAGTGCCATTCAGCCAAAAAGTTTGTTTAGTTCTTCGGCTGGCTGATTCACAAATGTAGAATGGAAAGAAAAATACCCTCTTTGCACCAATTACTGTGGGACCTTTACAAGAGAAGAGAAGCTGTGATTGGAATAATCGCCACAAATGGAAAATGAAAAGAAATGGTTACATTGCTAAAGAGCATAAATGACATTTCACAGCTGCATCATTTTCATTATTTGTAATTTTCATGTTTTGGATTTTGAACTTGCATCATTTTTCAAGGACCATGAAACGTGAAAAGAATGAAATGGGCAAAAATAATATAATACAAAAAAAAAATAATTTACCTATTTTAAATTAGCTATGCCTGCTAAAATGCTATCATAGCATAAAAATGATGAATGATTTCCATTTTCCTGCTTGGTATGGTTTGCTTTGCTAGCAGCTGTAGAGCAGCAATATGGGAAATTAACTTGAGCTGGCTTGAGAGGTTCTGGAAATAACAGTCACGTTCATCAGAGTAACAGTTGGGGCACATTAAAGTTGGTCCACGCCTGTGGATGTAAAAACCAAAGGTAAGAAGTCAACTACTACTCCCAAGGTGCATTTCAACTGCAGAGGTTAAAATTTTGTTGGTTATGTTTGAGCTAAAAGTGCCATTACGAGCCTTAATCAGCTCACTTTCAAATTCTGGGTCAGTTTTGGGTGAATTCAGCACAGCTCACTGTTATTTCTTCCTGATTGCAATGACTAAGCGTTTTGAATTTGCTACAGCTCTGAGTCATGGCTCTTCTTCCCGTATAACTCTGCCAGCTGAAGCGTCACAGTGTTTAGAGCCATCTGCCATAGAAATTACTTCTCAGAAACAAAGTTAAAATTATTTCATCTGGTGGCCATAACACAAAGATATTTTATCATTGCATTATCTGGGAAACACTATGACCCCCTTTACACACTTAATTAAAATGTGTTTTGGGTGATCAGATTAAAATCGGATACTGCATACCACATAAAAAAGTACAGGTGTAAATGTACCCAAGATGAGTATGAATTGTGGTTCCATTGGAGGTGGACAGTGATGCATTGTGACCACAGGCAGAAAGACCTCTTCTCTAGACTAGTGTGCATGAACACGCTAAAAGAGCGCCATTGAACATGCTTAGGTTTTTGGTCAATGGTGAACTGAACGTAAAATATGTCCTCTGTATTTAACCCATCCTACTTAGTAGAAGCAGTGGGTAATCACTGTACAGCGCCTCAGGACCACCTCCAGATCAAAGCCAGTGCCTTGGTTAAGGGCACCGACTGGAGAGATCAACCTAACATACAGGTTTTTAATAATGGGGGAAACCAGAGAAGAAAACCCAGAGTAAACCTACGAGGACACAGGGAGAACATGCAAACTTCACAGAAAAAGGCCCAGGGGGGATAGAGGACTTGGCTGAAAGGAGTGTTACTACAGATACAGATAATGTACTTTTTATATGTACGAGTACCAAAACAAGTACAACTTATATATCTAATATCTGTAAGTTGGTGAGAAAGTTATTCTATTATTATTATATTATTAAGGCGCTCCTATGAGATGACAATAACAGTGGCCCCAAGCCAAGTTGAGACCCCAGGCTTAAAGAGAGTTTATAATGAGGAACATTTCAGATTGAAAAGACAACTTTGAATTTAAAACCTTCACAGAAAGAGCTCTTCTGTTGCTCAAGGTGTGTTCCATTTTTCCTGCTGTGCTCTCGAGGTAAGCATCATATTGTTTCTGTGTCCCTGAGGGGCTGATACTGTGATTAACAACCGTACATATGAACCTGAGCTGAATATGAATAAAGAAACAAATGAAAAAGCAATGATACACAACATAAAGTACGGCATGGAGGTAAAGAATGCCACAAAGTGAAGTGCCGCTTTCTCGTCAAACTCAAAAACAGATGCTGCGTTTAAATCCTCCTCAATGTCAAAGAGTTTTTGTAGTCAGTTAACTGCTAATGGAGCCTGAAGCTTCAGTGCTGTTGCTATGATTACCTGCAGTTTGATGCACCTTGCGCACTGATTAAGAATGAAGGTTGAACTATGTTTTAGCTGAATTTCAGCGGGCACCTTCAAACCGATCAGAAATGTGTATCTTTTGAGGCTAAAACTAAATTATAAGCGCATGAGCAACCAAAATCCACTCATTTAAAGGGTAAATGAACAAGGGGTGAAACATGCGTACCTGAGGGGAGAGTTCTTGAAGACGGTCTCGGCAAAGGCCTGTCCCAGCAGCCGGGGGCCGGCCTGGCTGAGCTGGCTGACCAGGGCCAGGTGTCTGCTGAGGTGGACCAGGAGCTGGTGGTTGGCCTGAGGGATGCTGGGACACTCCAGGATCCTCTTCAGCCTCTCCCCGCACTCCTCCACACTCTGACTCTCTGCAGGACAAAAACAACAGCAGAATGGGTGAGAATGAGTTCTTCAGACCATTAAATCTTTTGTGTGCTTGTGAGTAGAGATGTTCCGATACCAATTTTTCCCTCCCGATACCGATTCCGATACTTGTGCTGTGGGTATCGGCCGATACCAAGTACCAATCTGATACCAGTATGTTATAAAA